GAAACCATTTTTCTAACCTCTTTTACCAGGATGAACACTATTTGCATCTAGAGATGTTGTCTATTCTTTGACCCAGATTACGAAGGAATTCATGAGTCATAGACACACACTGTCCTTCAACTGAATTTAACTGAACAGTAGAGACATTCCTATTATTATCTCACAACCAGCTTCAGATTAGGTAACAAGTCACTTTTTACCTAACCATTAACGTTTTACCTATTAATAATAACTCAGCAGCCCCAAAGGTGGAGGCAGAGCCCTGCCCTGCTGCAGCTGGAAATCATTACTGAGTGCTCAGATGCTCATGGCCCAGCACCTCTCACCTCCTCTAGAAGCCTGTGTCACATCTCTGTGAAAAAATCATACCTTAGTGAATCGTAAACACCTAACCCAAAGGAGACACTTCTGGTCAATCCAGAAGATATGTGCTGTCTATAACTCTAATCCCTGGAAGATATGGAACCATCCATGTGTTTGGCATCTTTTACAATAGTGATTCTCAACTGAGGGCGACCTTTTCCCCCAGGAGACACTCGGAAATGTCTGGAGACACTTTTGATTGTCATGCTGCAGAGGGGTGGTGCTATTGTCATCAAGCGGGTAGAGGCCAGGGGTGTTTCTAAATATCCAGCAATGAACAGGACATTCCCTTGCAAACAAAGCCCCCCAAACAAACTGAAGTGGTGGGCTAAAATTTCTTTTTACTTGGAGTTTTTGTTTCTTTTACACAGATTTGTTCCATGTCTAAAGGCTTAACAGTTGCCACCACTGATTTTCAACTTATGCGGTTGTTCTCACACTCTAGTGTGCATATAAATCACATGGGGAATTTGTTAAAATGGCAAGTACTAGGTCGTATCCTCAAATAATTTGATTCAGCAAGTCTTATATGGAGCCGGGCATCTATCTGTCAGATGACAGTAATAACAATACTTATAGGGATGTAATAAGGTTAAAATGAGATCTATATATAAACAGACATTCCCACAGTGCCAGGCATATAGCAAGTACTTATTAAATGGCAGCAATTGTCCTTATTTTAATTAAACTTTACTTATGAAATTTGGCAATGTACTATTTCATTTGCTATTATAACCCATAGATGATAATTTTAGAAGTTGATGGGATATTACAGATGCTATGATTCTATGTGCTTATTTTGCAGATGAGAAAACTGAGGCACAGAAATGAGATATAATAATCATTTATACATTTATACAGAACAGGCTCTAATACTCAGATCTTTAGAATCTATGTACAGTGCTGATATAGTGCAAAGAGGAAGAATTTTGGACTCAGAATATCTAGGTTTGCCACTTAAATTTACAGACATTCAGTTTAATCATCTGCAAAATGGATGTAAAAATAGCTGACTTGAAAATATGATAGCAAATGAGATAGGATATATGAAAGCACTTTGTAAACTGCAGAATGCTACACAACTGATACTTAATATTATGACTTGTTCTTAGTTAAAAAAATGCACGCAAACATAGACCCTGGAACACACATAAGCCTCTCATAGTACCATTAAAGATCCCTATGGATAGTTTTTCATGGCACGGGATCCATCAAGTGTGGCCGTTCACTCTGTTCTGTTTCAACACTGATCACTCCAAAAGCAGCACCTTGGACAGCAGCCAGAGACGCTTCCTCAGGCACCCACAACATTCTCAAGCCACTTTCTTACTGGCTGCAAGCTACCGTTACCTTGCATTCAGACCCTCACTGGGAAACACAAACAGAAACTCCACATCACCACCATCTGTACATAGTGCAAGTTCAGAAGACAGGTGTCTACACGGAATCAGGGCTTTCTTTGACCTTCACTATTGGACCTGCATACACTGATTGATAGCTTGCCACATTCTCTAGGAAGTGAAAATTGGCATCGCCATTCAGCCTGCCTACATGTGAACTATATATATTTCAGGACTTAGAGATATTCCAGTGAATATATTCATACTGAAGCAGAAAGCATACCTACTTGCGAACTTTGTGTAGCTTGGCAATGCCAGCCTCGATCCTAACATCAGTTTCAAAACCGCAAAAAACAAACTTTAAAATATCAATGTTAATTTAGAAGTGAGGGTGGGAAAGGTGAAGAAGGTTATAGGGATAACACTATAAATAATTGTAAATCTGGTTTATATGGGAAAAAGCCACCAATTTGCCATTTTATCAACTCACAGATTATCCCTAAAAGTCATAGGAAAGAGGAGAGGAGAAACATAATTTTGGAACTTAAAAGTGCCTTCAAGTTGACCTCATTACATAAGTGATTCCACTAAGAGCTATTAATTTAGCGACAGGCTTTATTTTGTGTCTTTGTTACAAATCATTATTTGAAAATATATTTGTTTCATGAGATAACAGTGGAACTGAGGGAGTTTTGTTGAAAATGATGGAGCTACTATAAATGTATGGACCCATCTTATGTCAACACATTTTATTTGCTCCTTGAACATAATTCCAAAAGTATAAAGCACGGGTTGCTTATTATGAATGACTTGGTAAGGTACCAGGCCCCTCACTAGATGCCACTAAAAAGCAATCTGACTCATGGATCTGTTTATATATTGCTCAATTAGATTTTTCCATAAGAACATGTTTTAAGAGTCACTAAACACCTGACTCAAATTCAGTCCTAATAATACATGGTATTTTTACCCATTGCTAGGATTTTTTTTAAAGTGCACTTTTTGTACGACCTTAGCAGAACAGAGATTTCAGGAACGCACAAAGCTTGCTGTTACCTAAGGTGGAGGTTGTGGCATGGATGGTGGAGGCAGAGGTCACAGACATTGCAGAACACAAGCCAATACATACATAACTTCTTACCTTTTGGGCTCTAGATTTGCCTGGGTTTTGAAATCTTTTTTTTTTCTAGATTCCTTTTTGGTATCTCTTTTAGCCTCTGGTTCAGATGGGGAGGGGCTTTTGTGCCCTTCAGGGTCTATATTTGGTGGCAGCCCACTAAGGTAACCATGCATTGGTTGACTTTGGAGAGGGGGTGGTCGCGTGGGGCATGCAGAGAGTGTGGCCAGCCACAGGATAATCAAGAACACACATACATGCATAAACAAAAGAAAGAAAAAGAAGGATGCATTAAACAGCAAGAGCAAATGCATTCAAACTAAAATAATAAGCAAAAAAAAAAAAGAAGATGCAAACTTGCATAAGGAAAATCAGAACTGAAAAGAAAATAAGAAATCCAAAACTGTTTCCATGACAAGATGTATAAACCTAACTGTGAATCAAGTGGCAGTCTTACAATATGAAATCCAGACAATGTGTATCATAATTCATGATGATGTTTACCAGGGAGTTTACAAAAACACTTCATTATTTTATAACACTTTCTTATTCAGTAACATATGTAGAATACAGTGTGACAACCCAGAGAATATAATGCAACTTCTCTCTCTAAAGAATTCAGTCCAAGAGGCTGTAACAGATAGTCATCAAAGTGTACATATTTATAAAAAGCAGAATTATGCACAGATACTTCCCAGGTATCAGAATTTTCATGAATATCTTTTGTGCAAATAAAAGGTCATGTACTGGGCTAGTGAACCTGATAATAATGGGAGTTGATGAAAACCTTGTTGCCTGTTAAATATTCAGACCCACAATGCTATTGTTATCTAGCTCTAAATGTTAAAGCTGCGTTTCATAAAATCTACCACCACTCCAGAGAGGAAAAGCACAGAACAAATCCCACAGATATTTCAGAGTTGTATAGCTTGTAAGATGACCGACACAGTTCTGATTTCAAATCAAAGCAGTCAATTCTGGGTTTTCCCACGTGTGAATTTCCCCAGCACAGCAACTTTTTCATCCCAGGTTGTGTTTCTGAGGCCATCTAGTTTTCCCTGGGTGTGCCTTCCCTGGGTATCTGGGGTGCTCTGGGGAAATGTAGGTTTGCTTTACAGTAATGTGAGGCTACCTACATTGGGATAGTGAACTGACTGTGGCAGTACTGAAATTTATTCCATGTCTTCAGAGCCAAATGGTAATGTTCTTAAATTATTTACTGCTTTGCATTATTCAGAACTTGGATCTTTTCCTCCAGGAGCTGGGCAACGTCTAACGGAAGAGAGTACTTAGTGCAGCATTAGGAGAACTGATGTTCTGATCTTGTCTGTAAAACCTATAAAATGAGGGGGTTGATTACATTTGAGCTCGGAAGTTGTTCCCAGCTCTATGGTTAAACCAAATGCTTTGTAATTGTCTTTGCCTTTCAGCTTCACCTAGCTCGTTTTAGCTCTTGAAATGTACTTGGCTGCCCCTTGCAGGGCATGTGACCATGCTGCTTCTTTTGCCTGGAACCACTCAACCCCTACACTTGCTTCAGTTCTCAGCCCAAGCATCACTTCTTCAGAGAGGCCTGACTGCCCTCCTGCCACCCCATCTGAATCGTGTTCCTTTATTACATGCTATCATGGAATTTCGGCTTTTCTTCAAAGCACCAATCTCTATTTACCCCTGCCTTCATTTGGTGTCTAGTTTTGCTCACCATGTATGCTGACTGTATACCAGAGTGCCGGACACTCAGCTGGTAATATCTATGGAACAAGTGATAATAACAAAGGCAAACATGTATTAAGCTCTTGCCATGTTCCTGGCATTGTGCTGAGCCCTTTATATCCCCTTGCATACTCTCACTAGCCCCATGAAGACATTATCATCCCTGTTTATAGATGAGAAAACTGTGGCACAGAGGGTTTCATTACCATCCAAGGCTATTGCTAGCAAATGGAGAAGCCCTGATTTGAACCTAGATTTTTCTAATCTCAGAGACCACTCTTGAAGTCCCATTTGCTATTTTCTTTAAGTCTCGTGAAAGGAGAAGAAACTAAGTTAGGCCTTTGTGTTCTTTGTGTGTGTGTGTGTGTGTGTGTGTGTGTGTGTGTGTGTGTATACTACTGAGGGACTGGGGATGCACAGAGAGTTAGCGATGAAACTAACAGCAGGACCTCAGGACAGGTGCTTACCTGTTCCCATGGACGTGGGATGCGCAGAAGGCAAAGCTGTAGTGAAGAAGGGTGGGGTCAATCATGGCGCCATTTTCTGCCCGTTCCAGCAAGTCTCTGAGGTAGCAGAGATGTCGGTGACACCCTCGGACTCCATTTCGTGCGCAGTACTCATCTAGTACAAACACCTGGCCAGGACTGAACCAGCCCTGTTTGGGGAATAAAGGAGAAACTTTCTTTCAAATACAGGTTGGTTGTTTCTGGAGGGCTGCTAGAGTTGGGGGTGACTGGAACAGGGGTTAAATATAGCCAGAGTTAACACTTGCTGATGGCTTATTAATTGCCAGCCATTGTGGGAACACACTGTGTGTGCTACCTGGTTTAACCCTCACAACAGCCCTATGAGGTGGGTGCTGTTACCCTTGTTCAATGGATGAAAAAAAAATAAGGTCAGGGAGGATGTGGAATTTTCCTAGTATCCTAAAACCAGTAAGTGGTGGAGTCTGGGTTAGCCGACAATATGATCTCAGGAAGAGTTTCCCCCACTTTCTAACACTTAACTGTATACCTTAAAAGAGTATTGGAGTGGGGCAGGACAAAGTCTTGGTTCTGCTAAGAAAAAATAATAACATTAATGCCTTAAATTGGTATCATGCTTTACACTTGACACAAAACTTTCAGCTGAGCCCTACAGCAACCTTGTGAAGTAGACAGGGCAGATTTATCTTCATTTTATAGATGAGGAAATGGAAATCAGAGTTGTTAAGGGACTCACAGATAATTCAAAACAGGCAGGACTCAAACCTAGCTCTGTCTCACTTCATGTTTTCTGTTTTTCTACTCTGGAACATTAAGAAACATTAGGATTCATCTACATACACACAGGACTTTATAAATCCTGTCACTTTGGAAGCAAAAAATATTAATTTTAAAATGAAGACAATAACATAATTTCCAAAGAGAACAACAACATGACTAAGTTTTCAAGTTCTGAGTCAGGTGTTGTTCAATTAAACTGAGAGGAATTTCTTGTGCCTTGGTTTAGCGTTTTGTTTCCTTTTTCCTCTGGCAATTATTTGTTTTTCTTCTTATTTATTTGCTTGCTGCAGGACCAGCTGAAACTTTGCTATAAAAGAGAGCCTGGACAAATCTCCGATTCAGAGCAGCTTGGAAAGCACGATGGGATAGAAATCGCTGCCTCTATATGCACTTAAGAAAATAGATGCTCAGAAAGGCCAGGTGACTTGCCATTCAAAGTCACCCTTGGGCCAAGTGAGAAATCCAATGATTTCTTTTGGTTTCAGTACCTTTCTGAAGCGAGAAATAAACCAATTTAGGTGGTACTTTGTAAGCTGGGAAATGAGAATTTTTTTAAATACAAATTTAATATGAGGGTCTTCTCTGAGTCATCTTTTGAATACTGCTCTGTCTTGGGAAAGAAAAGGCAAAAGGAGAAAGTGACTGGGAGGCAAGTGGAGGCCACACAAGTGCAGTGAGGGAGGCCTCTGTAACACTCTCATCTTGTCTTAATGATCTGGGGAATCTTCGATTGACAACATGCAGCTCAGCAATACATCCAACGAAAGACGGCATCTTTCCTATTTCAAATTATAAGTTACTGCAGAGGGCGGGAGAGTAGTCGAGGCAGTGGGCTGCCCCTATAGGCAACTTCTTTGCCACTCCATCTGCTACCCCAAATGCTAAATCTTAGAAACAACACTGCTGTGAAAGATTAAAATATATTTTCTACGACTCAGATGACACCAAGTCTTTTGTAGATGCCAAAATAGCTGCTTTGAAAAGAGTTGAAGAAATATCAATTAGGAACTCAGTCGAAGACACAGAAAAATTTATGTATCCCTGCTGGTCGGTCTCCAAAACTAACTGAAAAAAAAAAGATTGTAATAATGAAAAAATGAAATATAGAGAGGCAGGAGATAAAGTCCTTTTAATTGCTGTTATTTTCTGAAAATTTGGGGTGATGATTAATAGAAACAGGTATACAAATGGGGAAGGAAACTATATTATGCTATTCATAATTAATTTTGGATTTTGGATCATATTTTTAAGCCTATACATGACTAATAGGAAGCAAGCTTCAAAACTTCATTTCTGGTTTAATTTTTTAGAGGGCATTTACTAATTCTCCTTAGTGATAAATTTGTTAGTGAAAATAAAAATTGTTTTCGAAAAGATCATGTGAAAAAAGTCTTGAAAATAATACACCTCAAAAAATTCCTCAAGAGAATAGAAATTATATATAAAAGGGAACGATTTAGGTTCAGAGGTATATTCTTACAAGTTTTATGAATGTGATTTATAATTACATGAATAATCATATAATCATAGGAAACGCATTTGAGAAAAATTGCCTTGTAATGCAAGGTAGGCTTTTTTTTTTTTTTAAGTTAAAGTGATGTGCTTCTTTCCAATTTGGCAAAGTTCAGATTCTTCTGATAAAGTGATTCCAAACTGAGATAATCAATGAATCTTTTAAAGACACAGATTAATAAATTAGTCCACATAATCTTGCTTTGATTTTTAAGCTTATTTTATCTACTATTTTTAATATTTTGGCTTCTGGTACAGAAAAAAAAAGGAATTTAAAATAAAGATTAGTCAGAATAGATTTAGGATAGAGCCATGTCATTTAGAAAAGAAACAGACTTTCGTTATATTTATGTTACTATCAATATGTTAACCTTAGTTAATAAGCAATATTAATAAAATGCAGATATAGTAACCTTAGGGGTTGGAGTCAGGGATGAGGCTTTTCCTTTGTAGGAAGTCGTTTCATCATTTTCCCTAACCCTTCCCATCTATAAAGTGGGATTAGTAACATTTACCTTTAAGAAATGAAGTAACAGTTTATGGCTTGCAGAAGAAAATAAACTGGATCTTTTTTAAGCTTCCGACCCTGATAGTATAAAGCCCCAAATGTAGCTTCAGAAATCCAATGAAGACATAATAGCAGTCCCTTGAATCTAAATGATTTAAATCTAGGCTAAAAACAGGATTTCAAGAAATGTTGATACCCTTGCTGGAGAGCTGGACTTCCAAACGTCTGAAGTGACAGAAAAAATTCCCCCAAAGGGTGAAAAATGTTTTAAATACTATGAAGAAAAAAAAAGCCACCCAAACAAACCCAAACCAGTTTAGCTTATGAAAAGTGGAGTTTATTATTTACAAATCATTTTAATCTTTCAAAAATAGAGAAAAAGAACACATTCATTTCTGAGACAGGAGCGCAGGGTCTTATCATCTGGGGTGCGGAAGGAGGGGATCTCAAAGTCTAAGAAACCCAGGCGATTTTTACAAGTTCTACGCAAGCAGATGCCAGACTTGATTACCCTCTTGGGAATATTTCTCATGTGGCAGCTGAAAAGGGGGAAGCTCAGATAGGGAGGCTGGGGAATTGGATCGTCTCTCCTGATAACTTCCTCCCGCTCTGTCTTCTTTCTTTGGTAAGTAAAATTCTCAACTCAGGAAATCAAGAACACATTTATAATTGTTAAAGGGGCTCTGTCACAGGGAAAAGAGCTTCTAACATCAAGGTAGAGAAATATCGCATTTAAAAAACGTCATTAGGCTTAAATTGCTGTAGACCAAAGAATATACTTGCCAGGCAAGAATAGGAATCATTAAGTCTGTGATCCAAAGTAAGACGTTGCACCATCTCAAAGAGTGAAGCGTGGTCAAAGTTACAGGGGTTGGACGAGATAAATTCATCCATGCCATGTTTTTGAGCTCTATCTGCGTCTGTTCATTTATACATGTAGAGAGAGACACAATTTAGAGAAACACATCACATTTTCTTTGACATTTCAAATACACAGGAATCTACTAGGCATTATGAACACTAGCTGTTTCCCGTTGCCTCCCACCAACATCCCCAAGATATTCTTTTTACCTCCCATTGTCAACTTGCATCACTTACTGGTGAGTTTATTGCATTTAGGCAAACATATATTGGCATCAACATGTTTATCAAATGATCACAACTCCAGTGCTTTTATGTCGTTCTTGAAAAGCTAAGAACACGACCGTAACTTAGCCTGCGTTTCACCAAACACTGAAAGCAGATCGGGTCTTTGCTTATAAAAGCCTATTTATATTTAGCTTTTTAGGTTTTGAATAGATTCTGCCATTCCAGTGGTTATGTCTAGAGCAATTCTCTACAATTATTGGGATTATCAGGAAAAGGGTTATGCTGATTTTCAGCAAAGTGACAATATTTGTATTCTCCCCTTCCAAATTCCCATTGCCAATTTGGTTTCACAAAAGGTTTGGGTCCCCACCCTCCAAAATTAAAAAAAATAATAATAACAAAAGATTTTCATTGAAACCTGGAGAATAAGTTATATGGGAGTTTACTTTGTGATAGCCGAGGATGTTGCCTTATAGTGTGCTTACTCAGTTAGGAAAGCTTATGAAAGGGAAACAAATTTACTCTGCAAGGGCTATGATCTGCCATTTATTGTGAATTAATAGTCTCAATGTATTCACACTTTTCCTTACAGGGTGAAGGCTGTAGGCAAAACCTCCTAAGGGCTAACTAATTAATCTCAATATGTGTAACTGAAGTACTCTATTCTCAATTGGCAAAATAACTCAGAGAATTCAAACAAATCCTGAAAAGGTAGGAATGATGGTCCCAGACATTAAAGGGATCAGCTCACTCCGCCTCTTAGTTACTCATTTCCTGACATGCAGACTGTGAAGAGAAACAATCTTACATCAAGTCAGCAAGAGTTTATTCACCCCCTTGCATATAACCTTCTACTGGAATATGGGGACCTGCCAGGGACCAGCAATGCTGTCAGGACATGGGGCAAATCAATTTTTGACTTGAGAGGGTGTGTGGATAATGTTTTCATATGTGACCTTCATCTCAGGCAGTGTTCTTTTTTTTTTCCTTCCCATGCTTGGGGTATGGCTGAAAACGTGGGTCATGGTAGCAATGTGACTTTAAGATGACGATTTCTCCAAACATTAGTGAATTTGTGTATCATTTAAACCTAAATGCATGGTATGTTAGACTTACGCCCTCTTATTGCTAGCATTTTAAAATCTTCAGTCTTTTTTCATAGAAGCAGCAAGTGGTCAGTGTTTGAACAAGATGTGTTGTTTATGCCCAAGACACACAGAAGCAATTGTTTCCAGAAGGCAAGTTGAAGAATGTGTGTTTTAATAGCCAAATTGTTCAACGAGGATGATAAAACACAAGCTTTTAGAAGGGATATCACATGTGCAGAGATTATATGAGAGCCTGAAAGAATGCTCTTTGCTGTGTTAATTGCCTCAGATTTGTATTCGAGAAAGTGCTTTCAATTTGAGGTTACATGCTTTATTTAGGATTCCTTTGTTTGTTTGGTCTCTAAACTACATTTCTCCTTTGACTCATGGGTGGTTGATAAGAGAAGTGGCCAGGAAGTTGGTGCTGGGGAAAAAGCTAGCTGTTTTCAGGGTGCGTGCCCCTGTGTGTGTGTGTGTGTGTGTGTGTGTGTGTGTGTGTGTGTGTGTGTG